ACGCGAAATACTTGATCGATTGCCAGCGATCTACGGCTGCTTGTACTCGGTCTCCAACTGACAACAACGGCAGACAAGGAGACGGAGGTTCGTCTGGCTGAGGCCATCAGAACGGAAAACAGCGGACTGCAAACTGCAAACTGAAAACTGAAAACTGCCAACTGCCAACTTCCAACGGTGGAGCACAGCAGCTTGGGATCTGCGGATCGTCGATGGCACAACAAATTTCAGCGCGTAGAACGGTAACTTATTTTTTCCTCCCCGCTAACTAGGGGGTACGTGGGGTAGTTTGGACCGGAGGCTTATAATGCCCACTTCATTTCCCATTTAAAGCTAGAAGTAATCGCCTGTATCGAAATATCTAGCAATACTCCAAGTGATCTGTCCAGCGTTCTGCGTGAGTTTGGAGCTGGGATCCTGCAACAACTAGTGAAGATCCTTGCAGTAACAGGTAGCCGCCATTCGAGCCCAATCTGTCCACCTGACTGGGAGCCACTTATTGTCAAGCTGCGCAGCAGTCGAAGGGGGCATGGCGGGATGGGGATTCGATCCAAAGGAGTTGGAGGAGGAGGAGGAGGAGGCTCACACAGCGATGTCTCCAGTTTGGCTGTGATAAAATGTGCGTAAGTGATCAGTTGGAAGACGACGACTGTGGATCGGGATCGGGATGGGGATGGGGACTCGGACTGAGATTCAGACTGCCAGTGCGACTTGGGGTTAAAATTCCTGGACTTGGCGATGCTTGGCGTTTTTTGTGCTGTTGCTTTTCAACTCTCTCGGCACTCGGCAGCATTTTAAAATTACAAGTATGTAATTTTTCTGAAATCAAGCGCTCATATGAAAATTCCACTGGCAGAAGCCAGCGCAGAAGCTGTCGATCGACCGATCGATCTCGATCTCGTTCTCGATCTCGCGGCCAATTGTGGGGCATTTTTAATTTGTGCCCGGCTTTGACTTTTGCCTGGAAATCAGAGCAGTGGACGGAGTCGCCTGGAAGCCGACTGTGCGACCTTATCGCGCCCACTGTGCACAAATGTACAAATGCACAAATGCACAGATGCACACACAAAATGTCAATTCTGCGCACGTCGCTTCACCAGGCATCCCAATCAGTCGTGGCCCCCGATCCCCACCAGAGTCCGAAAGGGGGTGGACCAGCTCCTGGCCAGGCTCCTTAGCCTCTGGCCGGCCTGGCAGCTCGTCATCATTATCTCTGCGCTCTGCCAACATCACAAATAATATGAGCAAGGCACAAAAAGGCAGCACAATCGAGGGCCCAGGAGTCGGGCTCTGCTGGCCTGCAAATAAACTATTTCAATCAATGCGTTTGTCGTCGGGCCATCGATCGCATGCCAAAGGTAGTTAGGCATCCCATAGGATGAGTTGTTGGCTCATCGGGCAGCGGGCTTTTTCGGTGTATTTTCGAGGTTCGGCCGATGGGCATGGAAATGGGCGCAAATTAAAATTTACTTATGAAATTTTGCAAATTTCTTTGTTACTTTAGTTTAGTTTTATCTAATCAGAATGGTTTGCTAATATTATTCACCATATTTTCTGATTTTGAATTGCATGAATTGGCGCCAACTGGCAAGCAGGTCACCTCTCTCAAGCAGTAAACCATCGCATGTGCACTGCTTGTATAGATGGCGCCACATCAACTATCGGACAGCCTTTGAGCAAGCAGTCGAATGGGCTTGTACGCCTATCGATTATTCTGTGCGTAACAGCTTTTTGAATTCAAATTCAAAATTGTGAAACGCGGCTAACTAACTACGCAGCCTTTAAAAATTGCTTAAAAATAAGTAACTTATAAGTAACTAAGTAGCAAAAGTATCAAGAGCACAGTAAGTTAATATATGTGAAGGTATTTTATCTTTGTTAATAAACAAACTTATAAGTATCATAAAAATAACCAACAAAACAACAACCTGTTACAAACTTCTATTTCAAAATATGAATTTAAATATTTGACAGTTTTTGGTTGAGCTTTGTTCTCACGCCCCTATTAACTTGGAAGACTTTTCTAAGCAGCAGGCAGCGAAAACTTTTCGCCGAAGAGCCGACTTTCATTGCCGAATCGGCTGGCATCAGCACTAAATGCTATTAATTTCTGTACTCATCAGCACACGGTGACAGGGAACGGGCTCGTTTTCTGTGGAAGTAGAGTCAGAATTACAGAAGTGAAGCACAAAGCACGAGAATCCCCTTTTGGAAAAGAGTTTGGGGTCGTCGAACTGGCTGCACTTTAAATGGTGTTAAGTACACTGCAATTAGGTGGAAATAGCCGGAGTTTTCGCTAACTGGGTTTTGGGAAGCGCATGATGCATTGCGGCGATGAGTCAATACAGCAGCGTACTTATGGAACTGAGCAGCCATTTTATCAACACTAAATACTAAACACTAAGCCTCAAGAAAGGTCTTTCCCAAAGACAGGGCCGTGAGAATAGAACGAGTGAGTAACGCGACCCCAAGTCCATCGACTCGAGTTCACTTCGATTGGGCTCGAATTTAAGGAAGTGCAGAGTAAAATTAGCTGCGCGTCATCGAGATAAGGTGACTGCGAGTCGCGAATAAAATGAAAGCAAATCGAAGCACAACGCCGTCTAGAAATCATTGGCCAAAACTCACAATTGTGGCCGTGTTTATAAACACAGCTCAGTCGGATTTTCGCATGTGCCAGACAACTTTTCGCAGAGTGCAACGAACGGCAGTTGGCTGGGAGTTGTGAGTTGTGAATTGTGGCCGCTACTCGTATTTGTTTTGTTTACGAATTCGCGGCTTTTGGCCGTCTTATCAGTCGTTTGCCAAAATGTATAAATACGACTCTTAGCCTCTTTGCGCGTGGTCGTCGTCCAGGGAGATAAACACGCCTACGATTTCCCTCTGGGAAACGCCTAAGTAGATCAAGGTGATAGAAAGGTGTTTTATCTGCTGGACTTTCTCCAAGTTTAGTATCAACGGATAGATGTTGCATCTATGTTTTCTTACTCGAGTTAAGCGCGGGAAAATTGCTGGGGAGCATAGTACTGCATTTTTAATCTTATCAGGGGTGATATTTTGCTTACCCACCCAAAATAAATGTCATACAAAAGTCTGTATCTTTAAAATAAACTCATAGAACTAAGTTTCAAGAACGACTGTGGATTGCACTCAATCATTTATATTTTATGATTTTATAGAAATAGTAACTTAAGAACCTTGGACCTTCTCACTTAATGAGGGACACCAGCAAATAAGTGGCTGTGCTTGCCTTAATCCCAACCAGTAGTTGCCCCATCGACAATCTGATAAGATAAGGCGCGCATGAGTCGATCTTGCCTCATTTGAATGGCGAATTTCATCACCTCCGATCGATACGGAATCAGTTCTTGGGTAAGACACCCCACAATGCAATCCCCGAGAACAATAAGGGTGCAGTTGAGTGCGTTTTGAAATGCGCCCGCCCAGAAGAATATCTTTGTGGACGCACAAGGAAGCACTTTTGCACAATCTCGATGCAGTCATCGATATCGGCGATATCTCCGATTCGCGGCAATAGCTTGACTGATAAGCGCGGCGAGAGGCTGTCCTGTCATCGACAGCGGAATACCCTCTTATCGTGCAACGCGCACGGGGCGTATGATTAATAAGGTCCGGGTAAACAAACGGTGGATGCACAGGCAGAAAACGGGGCGAAAGGGGCGCACCTTCGCAAAGTAAGCGACAACTTGACCCAAATTGCCGACCGAAAACCCAGCAGGCGAGAGTGGCCCCAAGCAGAAGAGCGCGGAACGGAGAGGAGCGGCGGAGGCGACTTCACAAATCGCTGCATTTAAATAAACAAAACTACGAGGCGTGCTAATTTTTATGAATTTCGTAACACAGTCTTAATTTTAATAAGACACCGCTGCCTATTACGTGAAAGCTCTCCGATGCGTTGCGTTCCGACTGCGCAGTCACGCATGCGCGCCAAAAGCAGGCCCCAATCCCCCCCCCCCCCCCCATTCCCAATCCCCATCCCCAGCTCCAAGTCAACTGCACTTCTGCGTCTTGTGTGTTGCTGCTTTTCTGTGTTTCTAAGGCGAAAGAGCGATGCGAAGCCCAAACACGATTCGGAGTGGGCAAGGCCCCAAAATGGGGGTCGGGGGTCGGGGGTCGGGGGTTACGCAGCGGAGTGCCGGTGTGTGCGGGCGTGGTGTTGTTGCTGCTCGCTGCTCGCTGCTTCTTGCTTCTCGCTTCTGCGGCTCTTCTCCCAAAAAAGCAACGGCAAAAAGCGACCGAAGTGAAAATGAAAGCGAGAGCCAAGGAGCAAAAAGCGCTGGCTGCGCTGCCGACGTCGCCGTCGTTGGTATCTGTGCTTTTTGCGCTTGTGTGGGTGCCGTTGGGGCTCCCTTTGTGTGACGTCACGCGATCGCTGGAGCTGCAGTTGAGTTTTTTCGTGAAATGAGCTGCGTGCATCCGCTGATCACGAATACTAGCTGCTGGGATAGGGTCCTGATAAAGCCACTAACTTTAGGCAGCAGATAGTAGAAGGTACACAGTGCTCGAGCGAAGAAAATTCCCATAAATGCCTGTAATATTGAGTTCAAGAAACTGAAGAATTGTCCAAGAAACGTTGAATGCTCAAGCCCCAAATGCACATCGCTGGCGTTAACGGCTTGCAGTTGCTTTTGGCCCGCTGCAAGCGAACAAGAACTTGCCAGGCGAACTGCCTTGCGACGAGAGTAAAAGTGATTGGGAAAACTCTTGCTTTTAGCTGATCGCGGCTCTCGCTCTCATCCACAGGTAGTTGCCATCGCCTGTTTGCTGTGCTTGTGTTTGTGCTTTTGCTCTGCTCTTGCTTTGCTTTTGCTCTGCGCTTGCTTTTGCTGTAACGGCGACGTCGACGCTTGGGGCTCTGGGGGGCGCGGAGCGGGAGCGGTGCGAGTGTGTGCTGTGGTGCGCTGTGTGTGTGTGTGTTACATGCGCTGGCCGCTCATTTTCTTTTTCTTCGCCTGCGTCGCTGCGCCAAAGACTTTTTCACTTTGCCGCGTTCGCGTTCGCGTTTGTCACAGTTACAATTTACCACTCGTCGGCGACGGACGCGCGCTCTCCGCAGCCCAGAAAAGCAAAGCGTAAATCAAAGAAAAGCTCGCTCAGCTAACGGTTCTTCAGGAGCGTTTCTAACACCACCACGTACCCGCTCACGTACGCGCACACGCACACACACGAGCCGCAGTCGTCAGGCCGTCTCGTATAAAATCTGTTGCATCACTGCTGCGGCACTTCAGTCGTTCGAACGCGTGCGGCCGGAGAAGTGCAGTTTCGAGTTAACAAACTGCAGACTGTAGACTGTAAACTGTGCGCTGTAAACTGTAAACTGTGAACTGAAAACTGAAAACTGTAAACAAACGGAATCGAATATTTTGCGAAAGAATCGGAAGCAAACAGGCTACGATGCTCGGCTGCAGTGACCACTTAGGCAGCCTAAGATGAAGCACACGGATTAGCGAGACATCCGAGCGAACACTTCCAAAGACCCACTTACCTCAGTGCAATGCTTTAGGCGCCAAACACACCCAGTTTACTCCGAAATCCGAACTCTAAAAGCAGCCAAAATTAACGCTCTACAAGGCATCAAGATTCTACCCTCCTTCGCGCAACTGAAAATGCTGAACATGGAGTCGCCGCAGATGTACGCCGATGCCGTTCAGACATTGGCCCAGCTGGACCTCAAGAAGGAGCCGCCGCTGCAGCAGGCCACCATTGGCCAGATCACCCTGACGGCCATGTCCACGGCGCAGCAGCAACAGCAGCAGCAACAGCAGCAGCAGCAGCAACAGCAGCAACAGCAGCAACAGCAGCAGCAGCAGCCCCAGCAGCAGACCACCGATGCGAACAACAACACTTCCCAGGACGCGGCCCTCCTGGTCAAGCAGCACGCCATGCACCAGATGCAACAGGTCGCCGCCCTGGGCAGCAACAACAACCTGCTGCAGAAGCAGATGCTGCAGCAGTACACCACCCAGACGGACCTGGACGATCTGACCACCCAGGAGATCACGCTCGACCTGCAGCACCTGATAGACGACCAGTTCAGGGACACGGAAACGCTGGGCATCTTCAGCGACATGGTGACCAGTCCGGGCGGGCTCTCGGCCACTCTGCCGCCCAACGGCATGGTCTCGGCGGCGGCGAAGGTCCTGCAGCAGCAGACCCTGCGGAACCAGCACGGCTACGGGGGCAGGGGCGGCGGCGGCGGAGGAGCAGGAGGCGCCCTGGCCTACATGCCGCAGCCCGTGCACGCCACCTACAACAATTCCAGCGACGAGAACAGCTCCGTGGGCTCCGACTCCAGCACGATCAAGGAGGAGCCCATCGACCCCGAGTACAGGCGGCACCTGCAGGAGGCGGCCAGCCAGCAGGCAGCGTTCATGGGCAACGGCGCCGGGCTCTACAACGGCTACGGATCGGGGGCGAATGGCTTGTCCGGCGGCGGAAACCCACTGAATGGGGGCAACACCACGCCCAGCAGCAACGGGAGCAACGGCAGCACGGGCAGCAGCAACGGCAGCCAGTTCACCAACCTGACCACGGCCAACGTCCTGGCGCACCACAACCTGCCCCACCTGGCGGCCGCCGCAGGAGCGCACAACTTGCTCAAGCAGCACAGCAAGCTGCACGCGCAGCAGCAGCACCAGCAACACCAGCAGCAGCAGCAGCACCGCAAGCACAGCAACAAGCACGTGGACAAGGGCACGGACGAGTACCGCAGGCGGCGGGAGCGGAACAACATTGCGGTGCGCAAGAGCCGCGAGAAGGCCAAGGTGCGCTCCCGCGAGGTGGAGGAGCGGGTGAAGAGCCTGCTCAAGGAGAAGGACGCCCTCATCCGCCAGCTGGGCGAGATGACCAACGAGCTGCAGCTCCACAAGCAGATCTACATGCAGCTGATGAACCACGCCAATCCCGAAGTGAGTCGCGCCTGCCGCAGCTTCCTCAACACCAACGAGCACTCGCTGTAGCTGCGCAGCTAGTGTATCCTGAGTGCATATGTGTGTTTGTGCGAGTGTGTGTGTGTGTGACTGCCCGAGTGTGTGTGTGCTCCAGCACGCAAGTGTGTGCGTGCGAGAGACTCTGCTAAATCAAAGATTCAAATGCTGTGTGGGTAGCTCGTAAGTCCATTCTCCTCCTGCTCTTCATTCTTCAGTCTTCAGTCTTTGGTCTTCGGTCTGCGGTCTGCAGTCTTCAGTCTTCTGGCCACTGCATCGCTGGGAAGCCAAAACTCTTCTGCCGAACGCTATGGCATTCCTTTGTACATTTACTCTAGCCCCATTTCTTGTTATCAGTGTATAGCATATTTTTGTACTTAATTCTAACGACTGTAACATATATTGCGCACGTTTTTTATACATAATCTTATACGTTATATCTTATCATAAAGTTAAGCCAAAGAAAAATGTTAAAAATATAATAATGTAAAAAAGAGTAACACGCAGGAAAGAAGAACGAAAATACAAACATCAACATCAAAAATCAAAAATCAAACATCAAACCTATTAACTATTTATACATCTAATTCAAATGTGTACATTTCTCGACGGTGTGCGGCTTCGCCCTTGCTTCATGCCACGCCCACTGCCCCGCCCTGCCCCGCCCAGCCCCGCTTGACACACAACATTAGCAAATCTCTAGTTCTTAAGTCGGAGCATCAAGCAACGCTTCACCTGCAAGCCCACAAACCCCAGAGGGCTCCATCCGCATCCCGATCAACCATTTGTGGCGATCCGAGTGACGAGTTCGCTTCCGAGGGCGTAGAAGATATGAATGCTATTAATTGTAAGGCCAACGCAATGTTCTCATTTTAATTTATATATTCGTAAATTAAATATACACAAACAAAGAAAACTGTAAAGCAAATCTAAATAAATTAAATAAATTTACTACATACACAGAACTATTTGATTTCAACTCTTGCTCCCCACATGCCGTGCTCAACTTCCTAATCTCCACAGTTTAGCTACCAGCCTGCAATTGGCCCTAGCCACATTTGAGGTAAAAGCCCTGCCAAGAAGTGTCTAATTAAATGTCGCCCATTCTTGGGCGACGAGCGATCCGCTGGCTGGGCGAGACACATTGGCCATTGGGCAAAGGACAGAGGGACAGACTGCTGTCCACTGTCCGCTGTCCGCTGTCCGCCGATGGGACAAGTACGACAAGGCAATGCATTTGGGGCTGCCAGGCGCGACAGTTGGCCGCTCGGCGGGAAAAGGCGGCGTGGAGGAGCCAGACAATCGCAAGGCGGCCGTGTTGACACAATTTGACAGTAAGACAAACCCGAAACGAAAAGCAAATTTATAAACGACAAAGCGAAAAAGAATTAATGCAGCTCGAGAAACCGACAAATTAACGCGCCAGAGAAAGCCCAAACAAAAGCCACAGAAAAACGCATGCCGACCTGGGGCAGATAATCACTTACAGACATTTGGGCTCGGGCTAAGCCCTTTTGGTCAAAACTTTCTTTCCATCCGTATCTGTATCCGTAGCTGTATCTTGGCCAACTGCTGCTGCTGCTGCGTGCGTCCAATTTGTCTAGCTGCATTGTTGAGTACTTTGATTGATGAAAGCTAATTGCGCATGCACTCCGGGCCCAAAAGTGAAATTGCTTCGAACTCGTGGGTGTCGCTCGGTAGCCACAAGCCACAGTCACAGCCACCGTCGAAATCCCCATTTAAGCCTGACTTTGATAAGGGTTCTAAGCAGCTTACAGTGAAAGTTGGGCCCCATCCCCGCTGCATCCCCCTGCATCCCCCTGCACCGAATGCATCTGCGTTTTGGCAAGCGCTCAGAAATTGCCGCACAATTACTGCCCAACTAGGCGCCGCGGCAACGAGGCGTATGAGTTATGAGCGGCGGCAGCGAGAAGTGATAAATTCGCAGCTCGCAACTGCAACGAGCGGACGAGGCAGCAAACACACTTCTTTCTGCCTCACCTGTGCGGCGCGCTGATAAATGCTCATTGCTGCCACGAAAGAAGGCTGTCCGCTTTTGTGACGGGTGGGAAAGTGGGATTTATTAGGGATTTAATGCAGATTCTGGCCACCTATCGTTTTCGTTCAAGGATGAAGCATATGCCGCAGTAACTGGATACACTAATCACAGCTACGACGCTGGGTTACATGATCGAGCTGAGGCTGGGAAGATTGCACCTCCAATGAGCTCCAGCTTCAGAGCCATCTCGATGCCGTCGTCATCCAATCCATCTTTCACACTCCAGTTCCACTTTGTCCGCTCCGCATTGTTGTGGCTCCAACATCTCGACTCCTCATCTGCGACTTAAGCTGCAGCGACTTTAAAAACCATAACGGAAAAAGTGGGTTACTTCACTTTTATTTTCGTGCCACAAGCAAGACAAGAGACAGCGAGAGAGAGAGGGGCAGAGACCGAGTTTACATCTATTCATCTATCTCTATTTTTCTTTTTAGCACAGATTGAGTAATAGTTAGTTGTTTGGCTTATATCTTAGAGCCGGGCTTCGTTCCCTCTGCTTTGCGCTGCCGTTCGCCTGCCAACGACGATCGTGTGGCCAACGCGGTGGTTTCACTTTCTATGCCGACTCCGACTCCGACTTCGACTCCGACTCCGAGGCAGCCAGACTTTTGCTATCTAATACAGCCGCCGCAACAACAATGGGCCATCTAGCTGCACTGGGCGAAAAACCACACTTGTTGAACTGCAAGAGCTGATGGTGCGCGGGATATTTGTATCTTTACCATGCACGTAAGGCTCCTAATAGCTGAAGTATATTCTGCATATATATTATATGAACATAGCCCCTCTTCTCCCAGTGTAGCTCCACAGTCGCAGCAGCGCGCTCACCTCTTTTTCTTCGCGCTTTGTGTTTTCCTTCCACAATACATCGACTATTTTCTTTTCGACGATGCCATACGCCATACGCCATACCCCATACGCCATGTTGGCCCCAGTTGAGCAGAGTCTAAAGGCAGACTCGATCGCAGGCTGAAGCCCCAGCTGAAGCTCTGGCTGAGATTCGGCTCCGCTCTCGTAGCCACGGCTTGTATCTGCGCTGGTATCTGTATCTGCACTTGTATCTGTAGCTGTAGCTGTATCTGTATCTGTATCTGTATCTGTAGCCGAGTGTGGGGGTTATGTAATGGGCCAAGCCGAGTGCTGTTGTTGCTGCTTTAAAGATGCCTTTTCTTTTGTTGGGCTGTCCGCTCTGCCTGATGACCAAGTTAAGATATTATGTTCGTTATGTTGCGCTTATTAACGTGGCCCACAAAAATTGTTTAGCCGTTTGCCTTAACGTTTGCCTAAACGAATTTTCCGTTATAAATCAAGCGAACCACGCAAAATAGAGACATTTGCTGCGATGGCCAGCTGGTAAATCACCAAATAGATTGTGCAGCCACGGTGACCCACAGCGAAACTGATATCGCATCCCCCTTCGCCTTTTCCCAGACTTTCTTACGCAACTTGTCCAGTGAAATGCTATCCATCCATCTACCTTCCCTCGGTCCAATCAGTCGGCACTGCCATTCGAAACAATTACGCGGCTCCAGCCGCATTAAAAAGAAATAAGTCTGCGCCTAGTAAAAGTATGCAAAGTATGTACGAGTATTGGGGAAAAGCGGCCCAGCTTAGGGGAAAAGCCAAGGGCGCAAAGTAGAAGGCTCTAATGAGTCTTTTAACCAGATGTATATATATATAACATTCGGTGCAGAAAGAGCGTTGTGCAGTATCTTTAGCTCGGGAATTCATAATAGCCTGAAGGTAACCCCCCACTGGGAATGAAGAGTAGATAGGTAATGGATATTGTAGAATGGTCGCCAAAACAACCAGGTGCCCTGAGTAGTAATACGAAGTGAATAGAATAAAGGCCACCCAAATAAAATAGCAAAATCAAAAGAAAGCGAGAGGAAGAGGGCGAGACACAACAAACCAAATCTAAACCACTCACCCAAAGACCCATTGGCCTACTTTTCTTACAGGCCCAGCAGCAACAACAATGAAAATATAAAAAATGCTAGAAAATAATCTCAACGCCAACACACGCACACATGGCTAATCAAGGCGTATCTGTGTGTTGGTGCGTCCAAATTTACAAGGGGCGCCCTTTTCGAAAAGTCGAAAAAACGAAGTCTTCCAAGAAAGCTGCGCGCTCTTCTATTTTCAGCTGCGCGTTGGCGTCGCCGTCTTTATCAGTCCTCCGGCGGGAGGGGCAGGGGGCGGGCGGTTACTTATCTTAGGGCAAGACCCGCGTCCGCTGAGCGAAAGAGATGGCTGCCGCGGCGAAGGGCCAGACACTTGTTGCAAGCAGAACGCCCCACCAAGAAAAGAGCAAAACAGAGCAGCAACTACAAATTGACCCAATTTCGAACATTTTTCCCTTACTGCACACAGATACACACACAAACAAGCCCAAATATGCGCCCTGAACTCATAAAGAATTATGTGCACGCAGAGAAATGGGTGTGAACATAAAAGCAAGGCACTGCGAAATAGTGCCAAATCATACTCTTTAATTAGGTTGTAGGGCTCGTATCTATGCCTATGGATTTAAACTATTGTGTATTTTATTTTATATATTTTTAAGAGCTGAGCATCTGTTAAATAATATCCTCTTTCTCTGCGTGTAAATGCGGCCAAGTGTGTGTAGTGCTCCCCTAAAACTGAATTGTTGTTAATTGTTGTTGCTGCTGTTGTGTGTTGTTTGCTCTGTGGCATTGCTGAGTTCTTCGCCGGGTGGTGGGTGATGGGTGCTGGGGGGTGGGGCTGGCGAGGGGGAGGGGGAGGGGCTGCAGCAGCCCAACACCAGAATTCACTTTCAATTTTCGGGCTCTTTTGATTGGGCGCACGGAAAGAAAAGTTCTATGCTGCAGGAACAACAGCAGACAGAGCAACACACATTTTCTTGACTTTGGGCAAAGTGGGTCAGCAGCTGTAAAATAGACTCCAGCAGACTGGGACCCCCAACCCCGCCCCCTGAGAAGCAACCGCCCCCCCCCGCCCCAAATCAAGTGGGAGAAGAGGGAAACGTTTGTGCATTTGTGGCAGTGGAATGTGTCTGGATGTGTGTATCTGCGATCTGGCGCTGTTTAGACGGTGTCTATTTCTCCTTCGGTTTTCCTAGCGCGTTTTCCCCTTCCGGCCGCCCTGCCCCGCCCCTTGCCATTCGCCCACCCGGGCCCACTGTTAAGTAGGTCAGCACTTATGGCCCGATCCACGAGCAGTTTTCATTATCATGTGCAGCTGATGCAGCGATGAGGCTGGCGATCAAGAAAACAAAAGTATCTTTGAGTTTCCCAGTGTGTTGCAACTTCAACTAGTAATGGCGAAAAGAAACGCTTTTCGGACTTTTATGTCTAAACAATGCAGCAGCAACTTCATAAAATGTGTCTTTCCATCTGAAGGAGATAAAACAAATTGGAAGTGCTCTTTAACGCACTGGCCTCTTGATGGATCCCTGCCAGAAACACCAAGCGGTGGAATATACAAAATGGAATTAGATAGGTTACCCATTCAAAGCTGGAGCTATCCCCTGAAATAAATGTACTATTTAACAAGTTATAGACATCCGAAAGATACTTGCCGCAGAGCATGCGTATCTCTGGCCATTTCACGAATTTGTCACTGTCTCCTTGGCTCTGCAGGCCATTCCCAAATTCTCGCGTCCATTTATTTCGTTTCGCTTAAAAATAGCACCAAAAAAAGGTTCATTGCGACCCAGAGAACAGAACAATGAGATGGGGCATAATATGTGCGGCTTCTGGTTTTCTGCGTCGCATTTCTCATAGCTGCCGCCAAAGTGGCAGAAGGCAAGAGACCGCGGGCTGCCAACGAATAAATACATAAGTGAAATAAAATGTATTACATTTGAATGTAATTAG